GTAGTTTAGGGTTGTGACTTGCATAACTTTTTTCCCTACTCTCTCCTTATCTGCTCTCTGTAAGGCTCCCCCTGTTCTCAGCTAAGTGGTGTTCTCCGGAGGCTCCAGGTGTACAAGCACTGTGTTCCACTAGTGGAGTCAGGGGACCTGCACTTGAGCAAGGTGTCTGAAATTATAGGACTGCTGATGCTGGAGGTGAGGCTCCTTTGGGCTGTGACTTGCATAACTTTTTTCCCTACTCTCTCCTTATCTGCTCTCTGTAAGGCTCCCCCTGTTCTCAGCTAAGTGGTGTTCTCCGGAGGCTCCAGGTGTACAAGCACTGTGTTCCACTAGTGGAGTCAGGGGACCTGCACTTGAGCAAGGTGTCTGAAATTATAGGACTGCTGATGCTGGAGGTGAGGCTCCTTTGGGCTCTCTTTCCTGGGCTCTGCTAGGCATCATTTCATATGTGCGTTGAGATACTTCACCAAGCCACTAAGAAAATGAGTTGTGTTCCTTCCATGGATCTTCCCTGGGCTAAATTAGCAGGTGTTGGAATTTGCTCTGTGTGTGGATTGGATTGTCTTTAGATATCTAGTCTTAGACTCAAAACTCCAAACCTATAATTACATCATGTTAATTTACTGTTCTATAAAGGACAGTGCAAAACAGATCTCAGGGCTGAACTCCCCTTTAAGGGGAATGTTCCACTCTAAGAAATGTTCTTTGATGATAGTTTGGATATATATTGTGGATTCTGTGCACAGCCTCAGGCTCTTTCCTACTGTTGTATGTTCTCCCAGGCCCGACAGCTGCCAGACCATGCCTTGGCTGAGCTTGCCAACCTGTTTGTGGATGTTATTAAAGGTGGCAACCTGTCCAATGGAAAATCCTTGGAGCTGTTTTCCACTGTCCTCACTGCACTGGCCAGTTCGAAGGAGAGCCTGGCTTATGGAAAAGGTAACCTCTCTCAGCTCCTTCTCCTCAGCCTGTTCTCCCTTCCTCTGGAATCAGCTCCTGAGACTTTTGCTTTTTCAGGTGAACTCAATGGGGAAGAGTTTAAGAAACAGCTGATCAATACCCTCTGCTCCAGCAAGTATGTGCATCTCTGCCTGCTCTTAGTTACGTGGCAAACTATTGTGTTGCATGTTGTGCTTCGTTAAAGACACGATGATAAGCTGTGTGTCCTGTTCTGTCATCTTTGAATCTGTGCCCTCTGTGACAGTGTCTTCTCTGACTGGGAAGCACCCTGTTCCCAAATCCTGTGAGAGCATTGCATGAACTGGTCTCAGGAAGTGCTTGTTTTTATTCCTTTCTTGGTATTTGTTATTGTAAGGGCTGGAGCAGTTCAGAATCATTCAGAACTCACCAAGTCTGGGTGGTGCTGATGATTTCTGGCTTCTAATCCTAACATTGGAGTGTAACAGTGTAATTGTGTAGGAAGGAAGAACTAAACAACAATCCTGCTTGCTCTCAATCTTCCAACCCATTTTTGTTTCACCAGGTGGGATCCTCACTGTGTAATACATCTTGCCAACATGTTCAGGTAATTTTGTTTCCCTTCAACATCAACACTGCTTTGTGCTATGGTCGTGTCCATGTCCTATTGTATGTGTAGTTTGGGGAAAGTACAAATAGGAGGTCTGACCATACCAGGCACAGCCACATGGATGGTTGGTAGATGAACATCCACACCAGATCCATTTGGATACAAAACATAGTCGTGCCCCAAGGGCTGGGCATGGCATCATGGTTTTTATTGTGTGTGTGAATGAGCCTTGACAAATCAACAATTCTCGAAAGGATAAGTGTCTTTGATTCAACAGGGATATTCCACTCTCAGGAGAGGAGCTGCAGTTTGTGGTGGAAAAGATCCTTAGGATGTTCTCCAAACTAGACCTGCAGGAAATTCCCCCTCTGGTCTATCAGCTGCTGCTGCTTTCTGCAAAGGTAAAAGCTCGTGGGAGCTCCTTTGCCTCTAAGTACATACCATGAGAGAAAAATATGTCCAGACTGAGCTCCAGGCTGGATTTTGGCAGGGATTCTGATTGTTCCCAAACCATGCTGTGGTGATCATGACACAGCAGGACATCAGTTAGCTTTGTTTTCTCTAACTCCCTTTAGCCTGAGGAGGCTGAGTGCTCCGAGGAAGAAACCATGTTAATCTTCCTTGTGGGAAGAGAAGAAAACCTTTGGGAAATAAGTGATGAGCACAGCACTGGCAGTCAGCAGAGAGGATTGTTTTTTTCAGTGTTCTCAAGTGTGGTTTTGTTCACTCTCTGTGAGTTGCACACTATAATAATAGCTCATGCAGTATGACTGTCTTCAGGGCTGCAGTCTGACTTGTACTGGGAATGTGTCATCTCCTGTGCTCTTCCTGCAAGCAGAGGTTGCCAGGGACATCTCTGCCCTTTGACAGGGTGATCTGGCTCTTTGCTTGCTTCATTTGTGACCAAGTCAATGCCAAAACGATCCAGTCAAAGAAAAATTATATGTGTGTTATAGGAGGTCATTTGGGTCCACTGGCCAAAATGTATTGTTAGATTTAAGGTTCGGAGTTTGAAAGCCTTCCCAATTGATTATAACATAAAGGATCCTTTCTAATTAATGACAATTTAAAAAAAAAAAAAGACAATCAGGATATCTGAGAGCTTGAGTTTCTTCCAGTTCTTTGATAAGTGCAGTCAAAAGAAATAGGCAAACTAAATCAGAGTGGCTTTGCCTGGAAATGAGCCGTACAGGGCCCCCCTTGTGATTTATGGAGGGAAATGAAGGATATCATGAGATTTGTGATTGGTGTGGACAGTGGGTCTTGCAGTGGCTTAGTGTAATGTCCTACCTTGCAGGGCAGTAAGAGGGCTGTTTTGGAAGGAATCATCAGTTTTTTCAATCAGCTGGATAAGAGACAGAAGGAAGAACAGAAGGTTACACAGTAAGTTCTTGCTCTGTCATCCTCTTTCTTTACTACATGTATATTGGTAATCATCCTGGTCCTGCCCAGGGCTCCTTGAATTTGAATTGTTAAACCTTGTAGAGGTACATCCTCCTTAATACCTAATCAATGATTTATGGCTTTGTATGGCCTGGGTTTTTTTTCTGATAAAACAGGTCAGTGGACTTTGAGATAGCCACAATGCCCCTGGACCAACTCCGCCACGTGGAAGGCACCGTTATTCTCCACATTGTTTCTGTCATCAACCTGGACCAGGACCTGGGCGAGGAACTAATCAGACATCTAAAGGTGTGGCAAAGATGGTGCAGGCACTGCTCTTGAAGATGTTGAAGCAGGGTTTTTAAAACTGAGTTGGCTACCTGGAGAAGGGATTTGATCATTTTTATAACACAGTCATGTTCCCTTTAACGAGTGCTGTGATATGCTTGAAGAGGCATGTACCTGATGGCTTCCTGAACTTGCAGGATGCTTCAGTTGAAGATAACAAACTTTCTGACTGCTAATTGCTGTTTTCTAGACTGAGCAGCAGAAGGACCCTGGTAGAGCTCTGTGTCCCTTCAGCGTGGCTCTTCTGCTATCGGTTGCAGTAAAACACAGGCTACAAGAGCAGGTATGTGGGGGGTGATCTTGCAGAGAACTTCCATGGTGATATACTCTGCACTCCTTGGAAAGGAAGCATGGTTAGGTCATAGTCCCATCAGAATTACACTTAAAATTGTCTCAGGATGCTTGTGGGGAGGCAGTTAGATCATTGGTATGCTGCACTCTACTGAATACTATAAAAGACCCCAGAGGAATATCACAGTTTTCCAGAGTAGTGGTTCCTGTGGGTTGGTAAGAAAAAAAGCAACTTCTTTCTCTAATGTTTTGGCTCTGTGGTGGCCGCCTGAAGAGCATCTGGCAGCAAGTTACCCTCCTTGAGGCATTTAATGAGGCTGGTGTATTTGTCCTGAGAAAGAAGTGAGTTAAGATTTTTGGCAGGCTGTACTGGAACTTGTGGTCTGGCTGGTGCTCTTACTGGAACATACCCAAGACTATACAGGTCCCATTTCAAAGATCATTTCCTCACACTTAATGATTTTATGTTCCAGATATTTGATTTCTTGAAAACATCAATCACAAGAAGCTGCAAGGACCTGCAGTTCCTTCAGGCCTCCAAGTTTCTGCAGGATTTGTTTCCCCAACAACATGATGTAAGCACTGTAATTCTGGAAGTGGTGAAAAATAGGTGAGTTGTTGCCACGTGCTGCAGAACCTTCAATGGGCTTTGGGAGGAGGGAGAGTTTCAGCCTCACTAGAACACTGGGACACTAAATACTGCTGAGCATGTGCTGGCAGGGATCAGTGTCAATATCCAAAGTTTTTATCCCAGTCTTATATTGGTGAATTAGGGGGAAAAAAAAAGCAACAAAATGCAGTTGTATAAATCTGCTCCTTCTACCTCAAATCTCAGAACCTGGTGGTACAAAGGACTAAACTGATCAGGACCTGATCTGTTTCTTCCTGGTACAGCAGCTGATAATGTGAGTCACACTGCTGGCTGCAGTTTGTGTTCTGATCAAGGGATGAGGGATAGGTTCACTGTTTTCTTCCCCCACACTGTTAGTCCTTTAAACATCCTGGGGGGATAGCTGTGGTCTGTCACCAGTTGTCCTTTAGTTTGATGGAAGGCATTCCTCTTCTATCCTCTCTGACTTGAAGATCTTGGGATCGAGTAGGATATTGGTGCATCCTGACTGCAGCCTACTGTCATGTTCAGATCATGAGTGCACATCATCCCCCATAGCGAGAAAATCTTTGGACTACAGAAAATCTAATCTGATGGTTAAAGAACCAGGACTGCAAGAGGTGTTGTGCTGAGTATCTGTCCCTCAGCCTAGAGACAATCACAGTGTTGTGAGGGATGTCATCTTCCCTGCTGTCATCAGGTGTCTCTCACTACTGCTTTGGACCCTGGACTAACTGCAGAAGATTTTAGCTCAGACTGCTTTAATATAAACTTTTCTGTGACTCAGTTGTTTCTCTCCTGATCTTTTTAATGATCTCCTCAGTGCATTTGGCTGGGACCATGTTACTCAGGGCCTGGTGGATCTTGGCTTCAGCCTAATGGAATCATATGAACCAAAAAAGCCCTTTGGAGGAAAAGCTGCTGATACCACTCATGGCCTTTCAAAAATGCCAGCCCAGCAGGCTTGCAAGCTGGGAGCAAGTATCCTGCTGGAAACATTTAAGGTAGTGTATGTTTTGGAGAGTGGTTTTTATTGAGGGGGAGAACAACTCTGTTGTTACTCTCTCTTGATAAATGGTGTCAAAACTTTGCCTCCTGCATCCATCAGGAGGGTTTTGCTAACAATACTAGATTTAATCTCCTATTGCTCCTGTCCAGCTGGAAGAGACCATCCTCACAGAGACCTAATCCTGATCTGTTCCAGCTGCCATGATATTTGTGTAATCCCTGTTACAGTTTCCAAGAAATTGCAGGGAAATTCAGAGGTACAAAGTCTATCAGAGGTGGGACTGAAACCAGCATCTTCACTAAACTTATAAATTTGCATCCCATAGACAGTTTGACCCATTATGTTCTGGGTGTAATGTGTGTGCCTCTGAGTGCTGGTTCTGATTTGTCCTGGGATAAAATCTGAAGCAATCCGTGGATTTAGCCAAAAGGGGACTTGTGGAGACCATCTCACCTTACCTGTCAGAGCTGGATTTGCTTTGTACTGCAGGACGCCTGTGCTCTGAGGTACAGAAATCTATTAAAAGTTTTGATTTTTATTTATTGTTCTTTCTCATTTCAGGTTCATGAGCCCATCAGAAGTGATCTTCTTGAGCAAGTCCTGAACAGAGTCCTCACGAAAGCAGCATCTCCTGTCAGCCACTTCATAGGTAACAGGAAAGAGGGGAAAAATGTGCCCTTCTCTGTGGACAGTCACAACAGAGCTCCTCAGAACACATTAAAGAATCGTAGAATGGGTTGGGTTGGAAGAGACCTTTAAAGGTCATCTAGTCCAACTTCTCTACAATGATCAGGGACATTTTCAGCTAGACCACATTGCTCAGAGCCCCATCCAATCTGACCTTGAATATTTCCAAGGATGGGGTATCCACCACTTCTGGGCAACCTGTACCAGTGTTTTGTCACCCTCATTGTAAAAAAAAGTTTTCCTTGTGTGTAGCCTAAATCTACCTTATTTTAGTTTAAATTCATTACCCCTTGTCTTATTACAGCAGGCCCTGCTAAGTCTGTCCCCGTCATTCTTATAAGCCCCTTTTAAGTTTTGAAAGGATATAACAAGGTGTCCCAAGAGCCTTCTCTCCTCCAGGCTGAGCAACCCCAGCTCTCTCAGCCTGTCTCCTTAGCAAAAGTCCTTGAGGCATCTTTATGGCCTCCTCTGGACTTGCTCCAGCAAGTCCATGTCTTTCTTATGTTAGACTCAGAGCTGGACCCTGTGGGTCTCACCAGATTGGACTAGAAGGGCAGAATCACCTCCTTCAACCTGCTGTCCATGCTGCATTTGATGCAGCCCAAGATACAGTTGGCTTTTTGGAGCTCCTGCTGGAGTGATCTGATACCAAGAAAATAAGTTGTTCCTTTTGCTCTTTCTGAGGTGTCAGCTGCATCAGATTACCTTGTATTCATCCCAGGTGAAAAGTGTCTTTGCAGGCAGTTGCCATGGAACAGCTGACGCACAGAAAGTCAGTCAGTAATCTGTTAAATGTTCCTAGCCTGCCTTCCTCCTCGGCCTTAGGCAAGTGCTTGGGAGCCACTGGCACTGCCAGAGATGTCTGCACTGCAACCTCTTCTCTTACACCTCAGTGCCCTCTGGTGGGGTGAGGTCCTTCAGCTGGGCTGGGAGCATTTCACACTTGGTGCTGCAGCAGAACTCAGATTTTTGATGCTCATCCCATCATGACCTCTCTGTGTAAGGAAAGGTCTTTGATTAGACTGTGTTTGTTAGCTCTACAGACACCTTTTGCTCAGACTTTTGTGGCCCTTTGGCAGCAGGTGCCCCTTTTGTCTTATTTTTCAGACTTGCTGTCCAACATTGTTGTGTCTGCTCCTCTTGTGCTTCAGACTTCATCCTCCAAAGTCACAGAGACCTTTGACAATTTGTCCTTTCTGCCCATCGACACAGTGCAAGGGCTGCTCCGGGCAGTACAGGTAAAGCTTTGCATTTCTCCATGAATATCCTTGTTAGTTTAGTTCCAGTGACAGCTCTGGGCCACAATTATATGCATGATCTGATAGCCCTCCTCTTGAAATAAGCCTTCATACTGTGCTGTAGGTTGTTCGGTGTAGCATAGAACTGTTCTTCAAGCATGGATTTGCATGCGCCCTCTAGCAAAAAGCATATGGTGTGGTCTGGCATGGGACCAAAACTGCTCTGTGCTGACCTTTCATCTGGAAGATGCCCAGATGCTACACCCTGTAGAAAACTAAGCATACAGTGTTTAGCTGAACAGCTGTAACTGTCATGTTGATTTTTCTCCTTCCAAACTCCATGTCAGTATTTCCCTTTGTTTGGGCTGAGATATTGCCCTGGTGTTAAACTTTTACCTGTTTCATGCAACCTGGGGATAACAGTTATTTTCCCAATCCCTTGCAGTGTGTCCTCACTAACCTGCTAAGATGTCTCACTGCTACAGCTCTCTGGGTTTCATTTTCTATTTTAAAATGCTTTGGTTCTCCCACTGTTCTGATGACACTGTTGGAAATGCAGGGCCAGATGGGCCTGAGGAAGATGAGCTCATATGCCCCAAGGGCTTGGCATGCCTTAGTGCTTTTCTCTCCAAAGGTTATTTTCCTTTCCAGCCTCTGCTCAAAGTCAGCATGTCAGTGAGGGACTCCCTGATACTTGTTCTCCAAAAAGCTATCTTTTCCAGGTAAGCTGGGAAGGGAATTCTTTGAAAAGGTTTGCACGACTCATTTATGGGTTTTGGAGCAGAAATATTTTTTATTTTGGCTACATGTCTCCTTCCTGTGTTCTTTGCATAACTAGATGGTGACATCTCCTACCCCTTTAGCCTGGGGCTCTAGTGCAGTCACAGCTCTACTGAACTGAGACACAAATCCCATCTCCCAGCTGAACGGGCTTTGCAAATTCAGAAAGCTGTTAGGAACTCCAAATAAGTAGGCAAAATTAAAACCAATTCCAACATGTGTCTACACAGCTGAGTACATCCAGGGAGAGTCTGGAAGGAACCCCTGATCAGAATGCTGAGCTGTCACCTTCCCTCTGGTCCCTTTCAGGGTGGTAGAGAAGCAGCCTTGCCTTGGTAATGCTTTGAGCAAACCATCCTGCTGTGGTTGTAGACTGGATTGGGTTGGGCAGTGGCTGCCTGGTTACGAATACAGAATTCAAAATTTAGGATTATTATTCAGGGCAAAGGACTTGGTCTTGGGAAAGACCTGGTGTTTCTGTGAGCAGAGGATCAGCTTTTTGTAAGGACTTTTCCAACTCTGAGGTCTATGAGACTCCCATTCCAGATTTCAAGGGACACTTAACACTTGGGTCCAGGCCTGAGGCTCTCCCTGAGTGTGAGCATTGCAAGGACAGAATGGAAATGGAATATTGTGAGAGTGTAGAGCAAGATTGTTCCCAGAAAACTGCCAAGCTCTTGGCTGTTGGAAATTGTGCTGCTCTCTTGGGGATTACAGTTCAACTGGGCCCTGGCACTCTGTATTTATGGTCTTTTTTTCATTGCCGAACTGATCTTGTATTGAGTTCTGAGCTTCTTGTTTCCATGTTTCCTTATGGTTCTCTTTCCTGTCCTGATTCCCAGGCAGCTCGATGCTCGTAAAGCTGCAGTTGCTGGTTTTTTGCTTCTGTTGAGAAATTTTAAGATCCTGGGCAGCTTGTCCACTTCCCAGTGCAGCCAGGCCATTGGTGCCACTCAGGTAAGTGCTGTTCTGCAGTCCCTGGTGTGGATATATGAGACAGCCTCGTGTCTAGTATGCACTGTTTGAAACAAGTCAAGAGGGGACTGTTTCCCAGAATATATATACAACTTCAGTAAGGATTAGTCCTGAAAGGAAAGCTTTGGGAAGTTCAGTGTGCAAAGAGAAGCTGGTCTAGGGACCTTGCTGCTCAGAGTCATTCTCTCTCATCGCACCAGTGTTCTGGGGAGCAATCCCACTGCTCCATGATGTTGATAAGGAGCCTGGCAGCACACTAGGGACTATTCCAGTGATTGTTCAGGGGTCAGGCCTCTTACCACCTTACGTCTGTGTTGTGATGTTTGAGAATTGTACCCAGTATAACGTGACTAGTATTCCCTCTCAGGTCCAGGCAGATGTTCATGCCTGCTATAATTCTGCAGCTAATGAGGCCTTCTGCCTTGAAATCCTGGGCAGCCTGAGGCGATGCTTGAGCCAACAAGCCGATGTTCGACTGATGCTATATGAGGTAAACGTGGTTTCTTCACTCTCCTTTTAAAACAGCCACTAGCTCTTCTGTAGTCTGATTCTACTGTGGCCTCAGGTAAATAATGATCACATTATTGTGGAAAACAACCTATCAGCCCAGTTATGTTCTTCATGGGACACATGTACTAAGGACTATTTCTTTTTTAGTCCTGCTTCATTTTTTTTGGACCATTATAAGCCCAAGGACATGTTGATGTATCTTCCTCAGCTCATGCATTGCATAAGAGCAAAAATGTGTCCAAGTCTTTTCCTGTGGTGTGGCCTAGGAAATGGGCAGTGTGTTTGCCCAGTGAGGAGGAGTGGTATAACAGGCATTGGATAGATGCAGAGGTGCTGGGAGTTAATGATGGGCTCCAAAGAAAATCCTGACTGGAGAGTATGGAGAAACTTTCTTAGACACTGCATCAGGGATCTGTCTTCCTTTCCAACTTTTTATAAAAGCTTGTCTGTCCCTTAGGTTTCTTGTGCCAAATGGCCTATTATAAAGGGCCATTTTTGGGTGCATATCTTAGCTCCTGAGATAGCCATGGGGTACCAACTTGAGAAAAAAAAAAAGTGTTCAGGTCAGAGAGATCCTTGAGGAAAAAAAAAGTGTTCAGGTCAGAGAGATTTTGTTTCCTTCTTGACTTGGTTGGATTGACCTTTGGTGAGCTGCAAGTTTTGGGTGTGTTCGTCGCTGTTGCTAGAAAACTTGTGCTTGCTTTATCCATCCACTGAGTTTCTCAGTCTGCAGGATTTGTTGCCTCCTACAGTTTCCTCACTGGCTTGTTTTGCCTTTGAAGCAGGATTTCACAGTTTGAAGTTGGATCTAGTGCTAGTGTTAAATAGCAGGGAAAGTCACTCTGGGCTTGATGCCACTGCTGCTAGGGAGATACAGCTTGTGAGAGGGCCCCTGTGAGGAAAGTCATACTCTTTCTGATTCATACCTTCTTTCTGTGGTGCCTTTGCTTTGCCAGGTATAGAGTTTTACACTGAGCACATTGTTACTTCCTCATGGTTCCTTCCTCATGATTCCTTGTGGTGCCAAAGTGTCGCTGTCTTACAACGCCAACTTATTATGCCTGTGGTTCATTTTCCCTGTTGTGTCAGCCAACTTGTCCTTCCTTCCTGTCTACAGGGTTTTTATGATGTCCTTCGCAGGAACTCCCAGCTGGCCAGCTCTGTAATGGAAACACTCTTGTCCCAGGTGAGGTACTGCTCATGGTAGGGCTGCAGGGACTCCAAGAATTCTACACTGCAACCACTATAGCGAACAATTCAGGTCAAATATTGGGAAAATAGTTCTCCCTTACACTGGAAACATGTTTAAGTGCTGTGACACTTCCCTAAGAAGGTGTTCAAATCCCTGCTGTGTTGAGAGAGCAGACTAGGTAAACATCTGGAGACTGGTTCAGACTTGTCAGAAGGTGGAAGAGAAGCTCTTTCCAACACTTCAGTTCTTAGGTGCTGTGCAAAGTGGGAGCCCAGAGAAGTGCTTTGTGTTCTCCCTGTTCCTTAGTGTACAGCAGTTACCCTCCCATACTTCCCCAAGGATGTGTGCTGACACAGTAATTATTATTGCTGTCCTCCCATTGGGAGAATACCCAAGTCCATGTAGGATCTGGGAGGATTAACTCATCCCCCAACAGTGTTGCTCATGGCAACAAGACAATCACATTTCCTCAATCCATTGGACAGGCTGTGCTTTCTTTGAGACAAGTAATTTTCTTCCCTTTAATCATCCATAGAGTTCATGCTGACTAATTCCAGCTTTCCCATGACAGTATAGGGTCTGAGAAAGGAATGTGAACAGAGGCAAGACAGCTTTTGGGTAGCAGAGGGCACTTAATAAGAAGTTGGTGTAAATGTATAAAATTTTATAGTGTCATTATATGTATAACTTTCTCTTTTTGGTTCTGATCCTGCATCAGCACTCAGAGCATACCTCCTTCCTGTGGCATGCCAAACAGCCAGGAACTGGTGCAAACACCATCTCTCATTGATTTGTTTTCATGCCAAGTGCAGCCTCCACAACTGTCTGCAACCCTAGGGCAAGAAGCTGAGTGCCATGGCAGGGATGGGTGCTGGTGTGGGTGGCAGGCAGCAGCCACAGTTACTTTTCCTTTCTGTTTAGAGGATGTGTAGCACTGCAGGTGAAGTGCAAGTGTTGAGGCAACACAGCAAAAAGTGGTCAGATAACCTTGGTTCAGGGCAGTGACATGTCCTGGCTGAAATGCACGTACAACTCCAGAGGGGATTTTAATCACTAGTAGAGTAGATGATGTGGCTCATGTACTGCCCCATTATTCCAGTGCCAGTTTTTGCTCTGTAGAATGGGGTACAAAGATTATTGTATTCTGTTTTTGAACATCCTAAGAGGCTCAGTTACCAAGTAACTGGTTATTTTTATATCTTGTTTTCTGTGACAGATAAAGCAATATTACTTGCCCCAGCAAGACCTCCTGCCTCCACTGAAACTGGAGGGATGTATTATGGCTCAAGGAGATCAAATCTTTCTGCAAGAACCACTGGTAAGAGCTATACTGACTGGCCACAGCTGCAAGCTCATCTGTTATATAGCATTTTAGTTGTCCTGCTACATGAGCTGAATACCTTGTGTTTCTTCAGTCTCTTCTAGCCTGGAGTGATTCCTTTAATGACAATAGAGCTGGGCATCTCACCTCTGCCTCAGGCTATCTATTAGAGCTCCGCAAGCATGGTGGTTGTGAGGACCTGTGTGAAAAACGCTCTAGGAACAGTGTAGTTCTGTTTTCCTCTATTGAGCTCACCCTGTGGGGGTTTTTTCCCTCCTTCAACCTAACTCCACATAAAATAGTTGCGCAGTGTGTGTGGACCAGGGGGAAGAATCTGCCCTTTGGTTTGGCTCTTTTAAAATTGTTGGAGATGAGACTTCAACGATTCACTGGACTTCCGAGGGAACAAATTCAAATTAATCACTTTGTTTTCCCCTAAGGAAACTTGCATGCTGTGCTGCAGTAGCACACTCGGGAAGGGAACAGACACTTCATCTAGAGTGAGAGTCCCTTTGGAAATTCCCTTTCCATCCGCTTCAGCAGCTGAGGTGGAGGGAGCAGTCGGAATTCTCTGTATACATCCCATCTAGGCAGGCTCAGGCAGAGAACATTGTCTGAAGTTAGAATTGGGCAGCTGTGTGTAGGATGGCTGCTCCCCTCATTCTGGGGATGAGGCATGTTCTTGAGATTCATGTGGAACTCCAAAGGCAGTCATGGCTCTTTGCATCCAACTGTAACAGCCTGTCCCCATGTCCACTTCTGCCAGTGACCTTCAGCTTGCAGGCTGAGTGTGACTGTGTGGCTGCTTCCTTCAGGCCCATCTGCTCTGCTGTATCCAACACTGTCTCGCCTGGTATAAGAGCACTGTGCATCTATGCCAAGGAGCTGAGGAGGAGGAGGAGGAGGAGGAGGGGATTTGTGCAAAACTTTGAAGACATGCTAGAATCTGTCACACGACGAATGATCAAGAGCGAGTTGGAAGACTTTGAACTGGTAAATCAGATTTTCAGTTTGACTCAGTGGAAGAAGACGCTGAGTTCTTGTCAGGTTTTGAAAAGATTTTTCACTTGTTTCCTTTACCTCTCAGGATAAATCGGCAGATTTTTCTCTGTCTTCTGGTGTTGGTGTGAAAAATAACATCTATGCCATTCAGGTCATGGGGATTTGTGAGGTTCTGATTGAGTACAATTTCAACGTCGGGAATTTCAGGTAAAACATCAAACCTCACCCTCCAGCACTAGCTGTGCTATTATTTGCCTACCTCTCTGGAGTACAGCCCCACTGCAGTGCCAACACACAATCAGTGATGTCTTCTGAGTGAGTGCCTTGTGGCACAGCCACTCACAGAGTCTTGGGGAGTGTTTTCCTTTTGAATGTCACGTGTTGTGGGAGATGAGATCTGACATTTTGTAGAGGAGCAGGTCGAGGAGGAATGGATGAGGTATACATTGTTAGGACGGCCTGGATATGTCATAGGTCATTGTTGCATCATTTAGGAAGTGTCATTGTATAATCTGGCAACTGAAGCTCCAAATAGGAAACTCTAAGACTGGATTTTCTCCATTAATACTTTCTACTACTTTATTGCAGTAAGAACAAGTTTGAGGATGTCCTGGGCCTGTTCACATGTTACAACAAACTCTCTGAAATCCTGAAGGAGAAAGCTGGAAAGAACAAATCTACCTCAGGCAACAAAACTGCACGGAGCTTCCTGTCCATGGGTTTTGTATCTACTCTGCTCACAGCTCTGTTCAGGTGAGAAGGTGTCCTGTCTTCAGTGGAGCAGAGCCAGACATCAATTCAAACCATGCCTATTAGTGTGTTTGGAAAGGCTGGTGGAACTCTATCCTCTGAGTGGTCACTACGAGCTACCAAAACAGAGGGTCTTTTCCACCCTGAGTTCAGCCAATGATTTTACTTGTAAATGCATGTTTAGATTTTGAATCTCATAGGCCATCCCTGTGCTTTTTCTGTGCTCTTGGTTCTTCAGGGACAGTGCCCAGAGCCATGAGGAGAGCCTGGCAGTCCTGCGCTCCAGCACAGAGTTCCTGCGCTATGCTGTCAGTGTCGCTCTGCAGAAGGTGCAGCAGCTGGAGGAGACAGGGCAAACTGATGGACCAGACGGACAGAATCCAGAGAAGATGTTTCAGAACCTCTGCAAAATCACACAGTGAGTCACTGTGGCACGTGAAAACATCAGCAATGCATTTGGGGCATTTTTGATTCTCAGGGAGGGTTTTGAAAGAAGAATGTAGTCTGTAACTGCTTCAAACAGCTATTGTTCCTGGGTTGAGGTCATTGCCTTTCTTTGCTGCTGAGAAATTAAGTGGAGGCACTACAGTTTCTGTGCCAGAGTGAGTGATACAGCTCTAATAACAGTACTTGGCCTGGAAGAACCAAATGCCATCAAACTCTCATTTTCAGCTTCTTTCTGACTTTTGTTTCATCACTCATTGTCACAGAGGAGGTAGGATGGTTACAGGCTGGATTCTTGAGGCCTGTGGAATGCAGTGAAGTTAAAATTCACTTTGAGCTACAGAACAAAACAGATGTATGAGGGACACAAGCTTTAGAAAACATTTGTTTAGGACTTCTGCAAGATGCTTGAAGACATTCATGCATCTAATCCTTTGGAAATCTAAGAATGTGAACCATGTAAATGTCTTTTGGAATCTAGGTCATATCTGCATGGGGTCCTTTCAGATCCCAGTCAGCAGAGAGCACAAAATGCAAATTACCCCTGCCATGCATAATGCCTGTTTTGTGTCTCACCCCAAATAATAGAGGCTATTTTTGTTGCAGTCATTAGGACTACATGTGAGCTACATGTTTTGCGTGATTGGACATTGAAATAGAATAAGATCATCTGTGCAGGCGACAGAACTAATGAGAAGAAAGGAGAGGGAACATAAAAGGGAAGAAGTGGGCTTAGGGGAGCAGGGAAAAGATGTTTGCCTACAAATAGAAAAGTCTCCTTTGGGCCAAACAATTTTGCTTTCCTCACAGCTTTCCACTTTGCTTTGCCTGCCTTTACCTTTCTGATTTTATTTATAGAGAGCCCTGTAGTGATATCTGACATTTCACAGATCCAAACTGCCAAGAGAAAAGCTCTTTTTGTCACTGGCAGATTTGACCTCAGTGGTCAGGGTTTGGGCAGTCTGAGAAAGAAGGAAAGCTGGGTGGAAGAAATGAGTGCAGAAAGATGGACTTGAAATGGGATTGGAAGGTCTCTTGGCACCTGGAAAGAATTAAATTATTTAGCTGTGCAGGAAGAATGCAGTAGCTGTTTTGCTGACATTGAAATAAAATCTTCTTAAAAATGGATCTCTTCTCCCACCACTTTGCTGTAGGAAATAGACCTTCTGATTTAGTTATATTAAAAATATGATCCTAAGAGTAGAATCTAGTTCTTGCCCTGTGCAGGCAGCTTTACTGGGGTGTGTGATGTTAACTCATCTCCCATCTCACAGGGTTCTGCTTTGGAGGTACACTTCAATTCCCACTGTTGTTGAAGAATCAGGGAAGAAGAAGGGCAAAAGCATTTCACTTCTGTGCTTGGAAGGTTTGCTGCGGATCTTCAACACGGTGCAGCAGCTGTACACTGCCAGGATCCCCCAGTTTCTGCAAGCCCTGGGTAGGCATGTGGGACAATTCTGCTCTGGTTTCCAGCTTCCATGTTCCAGCCTGTGAGTGGGCACTTAGGGGCACAGTGCCCTTTATCCATAGCTAGGGAGAGGGTCTGGTCCTTGTCTGTCAGTAACAAAATGGGCTTAGTAGCATTGATTTTTCACACCAGAGACAAGTTCCAGAGATATCTTTACCTGCTTTTATAGAGCTCTCAGTCTGTCAGCAGAGGAGAGTTGGGGTCTGATATAGCATTCATCTGTTTGAAGTTTGTCTTTAACACATTTTTCTGCTCACCACAGTTCTGCAGTCTGTATTCCTCCCCTAGCTGTGAGCAGTTGCAGTCTTTCCCACTTTTGGAAATAAATCCTGTATTCTGCTCTTGGCATTTAGCTTTTTTTTCTGCACCTCTCTGTCTCTGCCAGATATTACTGATGGTGACGCAGAAGAAGCGGATATTAATGTCACGGAGAAAGCTTCCTTCCAGATCCGACAGTTTCAGGTGAGTACCACTGTGTGCTGCAAGCGTTCCAAGGCACTTGGAATTCTGGCAGAAAACTCTGCTAGCTCTCTGTGGCTTGCTTGACCACAGGGTTGAGTATGTGATAGTAACTGTAGCACTGATTCACCAGCAGTTCAGAGAAGTTTCTGATCCCTAAGGGATCCTTCTTTGGGTGCTGTGCAGAGCTGGATGGATGTGCATGGGGTTTACAGAACTACAGGTTCTTCAGTATGGCATAAACTTACCTGAGTGTTGTAAATGCCACATTGAGTCATATGCAGGCCTCTCTGTAAGCACTCCTAACAAAACCCAGCACTTGCTCTTTAGAAGAGTCCTCTTTTTATACTCTTTGTCATTCTCCTTGCTGCTGATCCCTTTATCTGCTGCAGCTTCTGGTTGTTTGCTTCTGCAACATATGTGCACACTCAGGGACAGTTTTCCTTCCTGTGATCAGAGGTCCCTGGTGAACCAGCTCAGCACTGCTGAAGATGACTTCAATGCCAAGGAAACACAGTCACTCATCACAGTTCTCTCCACCTTGTCCAAACTCCTGGATCCGACTTCACAGCAGGTACTTCACAGGCTTCATATGGTGGCAGGGAAGGGTGTTGTAGCCATAGGTGTGGGAAGGAGATTATTAGATTGGGTTAACACCTGCAGGCTCTGACCTGTGTGTGTCCTGCCTCCTCCCACAGACCACACCGTGTCAAAGGGGCTGTTTGCTTACACTGCCAAGGGTTCTGCTGTCACACACCTGCAAGGACACTTAAGAGCAAGTTGTCTTCCCATCCCACTCCTGCATGTTCTGATCCTGCTGTTGGGCATCTGAATGTCTTGTTTGCCTGAGCAGTATCTCCTAACAGAGCCTAGTTGTGGTATTGCTTCCACATGGGAATAGAGGCAAAAAAAGGCCAGCAGACTTGTGTCCAGTCCAAACTGGCTGAGTGCCTAATTCCTTCTATGCAAGGAGTCATTTTCTAAAGTGCCCCAATTTTACAAGCTAGGAACTGCACTAAGTGTGCCAGAAGTCTGGAGTCATCATTTACCTTAAATTAAATGGAGCTGTTACTCTGTCCAAGGGAATGTATAGCCATTCCCTTGTCCTGGATCTCAGCTCTTCACCTGTTAGTAGGTAAAGTGTCCCTTGTGGGACTTCACAGAGCACCACTGGGTGCCTTCTGCCAGAAGGGAACTCCACTGATCTTCCTTTGCTGTGATTCATTGTCTTCAGTTTTTATTATTATTAATTTTGTGCTTTGAATTCTGTTTCAAAGTCATTATGTCTTTTCTCCCCTTAGTTCCTTCAATTCCTGACTTGGACAGTCAAAATTTGCAAGGAAAATGCTCTTGGTAAGTAAGCTTTGGGGAGCACGTTTAGATGTGATGTGTGAGGTCTGACATTAGACCCTTAGATGCTCTGCTGTTGTCTGTCCTGGTTTTACCTCTGGTAAGATATATTCTGGTAAGATATATTGTGTGGCAGATTGCCATGACATTGTGGTTATTAGCATAAGTATTAAGGAAGGAACTCCATCTCTGAAGCTATCAGCGTTGCTGAGGAAGAGGAAACCACTCACTTACTTGACTTTTCTCCCTCATTATTTAGGCTCAAATCAGGATTTATACTCTGGAAAAATAGTGCTCTTGCCAGAATTGGTATTGCACTTCCTCAGTGCTTTTGGTCACAATTTTTCTATAAGCTGAGGGCTCCAGTGTGCCATACTTCCCCTTGCACTATTTTATGGGATGCCTGATGCTTTAAACTCTGCTTTTGGAACTGCTGTATTTTGATAGGATTTTCACCTACTGTGTATCATTTCTGTTAAATCCAGATGAATCTGAGACTTTCCCTCACTGGATGTCTGATGTTCCTAAATAGCTAGGGGAGCTCTGCACCTGCTAATGTGTTGTTTTCCCTTCCCCATAGAGGATATTGCTTGCTGCAAGGGTTTGCTGTCTCTGCTCTTCAGTGTCCACGTTCTGTACAAGAGTCCTGTCGGTCTTCTGCGGGAACTCGCACAGGACATCCACGCTTGCCTGGGAGACATAGACCAGGTATGATGCAGAATCAGCCTAGCTCTTCATCACACAGTGCTGCCAGGGCAGAATTGAGTGCATCTCTGGTGCAGGCAATGTGACAGCAGCTAAAGAATTTGTTTTCTCTTCTCTGACCAGGACATAGAAGTAGAGGGTCGGTGCCATTTTGCCATAGTGAATGCCAAGACTGCAGCCCCCACTGTCTGTGTGAGTCAAAATAATGCGTGTGGAACAACCTGTAGTGTCCATGGCTACTCTGCTGCAAGCAGCTTGCAGGTTTCTGTTGTGCCAAACTCCTCCAAACACCTGTTTTGTTATTGGTGTTTCTGTCTTAGCTGCTGGTTCTGGGTCAGGTGGATAAGGTCCTCGAAGAGGTGGATTGGCTTATCAAGAAACTCACCAGTTTGGGGCCAGACACATCAGGTAATAAAAGCAGTCCAGTTCTTAGTGTTACACCTTTGTCAAACACAGATGAAGACAGAGATAAAAAAGCTATTTTGAGATTTTGAGGTAGCATCATCTGAGGGCAGGTTAAACTCTCCCTTGAGCTGGTTCCACATAAACAGTGTAAGATAAGGGTGTTGTCACAAAAATCCCTCCAGTGATTATTTTCCCCGTGCCACACAGGAGCTTTGTGCTTCAGACACAAAGATGCTTTGTGCCTCCCACCTGCATAACTGGATTCATTAGACATATTCACCAGGTATTAATCCCTTTCTTCTAGAAGACACTTCTCAGGCATCAAACCAAACTCAGGCTCTGGAGAAAGGTGTAATTCTGCAGCTGGGAACTCTGCTGACAGTCTATCATGAGCTGGTACAGACTGCACTCCCAGCAGGGAGCTGTGTGGACACACTGCTGAGAAGCCTCAGCAAGACATACGCAATTCTCACCTCCCTCATCAAACACGTGAGTGTGCTGTGCTGGCAGTGGGCTGGCTACAAGCTAAAAACTTTCTCCCCATCTGCTGCAGCAAGCTCACAGTGACCCCTGGCAGCAGCTGTGCTCAGGCTGTTGATCTCTTGCAGCAGTTGAGCCTTTATTCTGTTAGCTTTCATGCCTTTAATTTCATGCCCTTTCTGAGCAGCGATAGTTGTACTAGTGGAAAAAAAGGAAAACTTCTCTCCAGCTGAATTTGGCTTGGAGTGGCTTTTTTTCAGTGTATCTTGTGGGTTCCTCTACACAACCCTTTGCCATAATGAAGACCGCTAGCACTGTTCTCACAGTGCTCATCAATCCTACCCTTGACACTCATTCCCATCGAAGCCTGAAGCTTTGGGCCTGGGGGAACTGGGCCATAAAAACAGGTCAGTGGAGCTCCTTGGAGACAAGGTGGTGAATACCCCAGAGCTCTCCTCTCACAGCTCTTGAATGAAGACATGGCATTTGGGATATATAAGCCACTGGAGAGGATAGTTCTTGCAAATCTTGCCCTCCCCACTGTGCTGTTGGATGAGCTGCTTCGTGCTGTGCCTGGGTACAGGATGGGGACAGCACACCTAGAAGAATCTTATGTTTTTCTTGCAGTATATCCAAGCTTGTCGCAACACCTCAAATACGATTCCAGGAAGGCTAGAAAAGTTGGTGAGTGTGAGCAAAGGGCTGGAGGAAATGGCTCATTGCCTCGAGTTAGGAGTAAGACCAACCTCTCTGCTCCTTTGCAGGTGAAGCTCTCAGGTTCCCATTTGACCCCACAGTGTTACTCATTCATTACTTATGTACAGGTAAGGCCTGAATTAACTGGCAAAATCAGTCTATGTGATGCTGAATGGTGTTATCAGCTGCAGTATGTGGGCACCTTTGGGGATTATTAATCTTCTTGACATGACTTGAGTTTCTCATAGTTCAAGCTTTACTATGTCAAATAATAGCATAAGAAATTTCAGCACCATTGGGACTGAGCATGCTGATTTCTGCTGGAGCAGGGAAGGAGCTGGTTTTCAGTTGGGTTTTTTTTTCCTCTGTTCATGTGGGGTTTTTTTGGATGAGATTAATACTGCTGTTAACCACAATGGCAAATAAAGGTCAACAACACTGCAGTCATCACAGTGTGAAGTAATGTGGGTGCCAAAGACTGCAGTGCTGAACCTGGGATTTGTCTGCCTGGAGAAGAACTGGGTACTTGCATGAGGACCACAGGAACTGTACAACATACTGGGGAAAGTGTCACGGTGTGCAGAGCTATCACTGCTGGGGACTTCTCACACATGCATATTTCTGAGTGTATGAATTATGAAATTAGCTTTTTTTTCCTTATTTTTTGAGAGTATCCTGAATTCCATCCTTGTGTTGCTACCTCTCTGTCATCTAGCTGGTAATGCTGTTAGCTGGCCAGAGCTAGCACTTCTCTGGCCTTACTCAGCTGGCCTTTCTTCCCTGCTTACCCTCTAATGACAAAATCTTTTGACATCCTGCTTCAGAACATTCACAGTGAGAGCTTAAGCCTTGCTGAAGAGAAGAAAAAGAAGAAGAAAGAGGATGAAGCTGCTGCAGTCTCCACAGTCATGGTAGGTCTGACTTGCTCTTTCAGAACATGGACTGTAGTTGAACTTGGGATCACACCTCGAGGTTTGTGTTACTTGGTGGCTTCTTACAGATCACCAGGGACAAATTGTCATTTGGGTCTTTAAATAAAAATCAAATTTAATCTACCATAACTTCAGAGAAAAGTCTAAAAAATAAACCACAAACAAAACAAAATCAATAAACAACAAAATGCCATCTCCACTAAAAGCTCACAGGCATGAAACAAAGGTCAGTCTGGATAGTTTGTCTTGTCTGGTATTTTTACCATTTGGGGTAAGCTATGAAATTAAGAGTTATGTGCTAATTTCTTGGAACCAATACTGCATTCTGTTTAAGTGTTCCTCAATTTTATCAATACCTTTAAAGATGAAGGAATGGTTTCCACTGAAGTAAGGCAGTTGAAAATGACTGGATTATTTTGTTGGGAGCAAGGGAGTAGGCAGGTAGGTTCCTGGTCCTTGATGTCCTTTGTTTGTGCTCCCAGACAGAATTTCCTCTGTCTAGTCAGGTGTCCCAGACATTCCTGTGATGTTAAGGTTTTAAAAGCCACAAGCATTATCTTCTTAGCTCTTCCCTGAGTGTACAAACCAGTAGTGGTAAATAAACAGGGCAACAATGTGAAACATCACTGTGATCATTGCCTGGACAGCATGTGCTTGGGATGCCTTTGGAGAGCTGGAGCAGAGGAACTGCTGCTCCAGTGGCTGTCAGGAATATCAGGGCTGTGGACTGCAGGCAGAGTACAGAACAATAGAAAGGAGAGCCTCAGTGCAGAACAATCCTGGGAGTCAATTTAAAACCAGTAACAAAGCTGGCAAGGCTTGTTGGGGCAGGAGTGGTACAGAGCAAGGCTACTGAAGAGCCTTTTCTAAACTGTGAATGTTGTGATCTTCATGTCATGCTGCAGCACCACTGTTCCCTTCCAAATCAGGCCCGTTAACACTGCTCTCTGCATTTCAGGCCAAGGTGCTTCGGGAGACCAAGCCAATCCCAAACCTGATTTTTGCAATAGAGCAATACGAGAAGTTCCTTATCCATCTTTCCAAGAAGTCAAAGGTAATGCAAAGCAGAGATCTTCCGTGACCTGAACTCGGTGGAACAGTGGGATCAATGGCAGGGTGGAGGGCTACTGTTAACGTCTCTACTAGTGCTCAAATTAGGAAGGTGTAAGGACCTTTCAGCCCTTGCTCCTGGCCCAACAGTACTGAATTGCTGCCACAGTGATACCTGCCCATGACCTCATACCGTGTGGTTTCTGGTGCAGCAGAAACATGCACACCTCATGCTTTCCTCACCTCTCCTCCCCAGTTTGTGTCATGAAATGTACCACGATGAGGTACTACATGAGAGTGAGAGTAACTGACAATCACTTGGCTTTTAGGAAAACATAAATGGGCCACTGGACTGCATGGGAGCAGGTGCTTTGTCACCTTCCTTTTGCTTCAGTCCTGCATTATGACTGCAATGGACTCGGTCCCAGTGCTGTGCAAAGGACTAGGCAGGATAGAAAACTAAACTCAGATGCTGAATGTGGCTCCCCCTGGTTTTGCTGCAGGTGAACCTGATGCAGTACATGAAGCTAAGCACCTCCCGGGATTTCCGCATCAACGCGTCCATGCTGGACAGTGCCCTGCAGGAGCACAACACAGAGGATGCTGAGAATGAGCCAGACAACAACGAGGTCAGAATTCATTTAGCTGCTTTTACTGATAGGTTTCCCCCTCTTTAGAGGCCAACTGTATTTGTGAGCTGTGCAGGTATATGTGAAAATTAGGACAGCGTCTCTTCCCTGGGTTCACTTTGATATTCACTTTGACACTAAGCTGACACAAAGGAGGGAACAGTTACTCTGGCCAACACACCCTACAGCCTTCTGCCTTGAGTGGCTTTTATTTCCATGCACCATCTCTGTGTGTCCTTGGTCTTAGGGAAGTGAAACTGCTCTTAAGGCCTTGTTTGCCTCAGCAAGCAGAGAGGTCTGTCAGCATTACCTCTGAGGACCTACTGCCTGGCCAGGATCCAGCCTTTGCAGCATGATGCAAAGTGGTTTTGCATGCAGGTTAAGTTCTGTAGATAAAGACCTGGCAGAGCAAACTCTGCAGGCATCATTTTAGAACCTCAGACCCATCTTCACTAGATAGTGCTGGATAAGAAAAATAACCAATTTACTCTGCTGATTGTCCAGGTTTTTATTGGTGCTTCAGTCCATATTTTCCTGAGTGTTTCAACAAGTCAAAACCCAGGACACAGTCCCTGTCCTGTGCCACTGGTAACCTGTGGTCTAAGTTCCAGTATGAACTGGGGAGGGGGTAGCCCACGGGGAAAGTCTCAGTGGGTGACAGAAGTCCCATACTCAGGTCATCTTGTTAGGGAGGAAAAAAAAAATTGAAATCCTGTTCTGCACTCCTGGCTTCTTGCTTTAGGTACACATTCCTTAGACTAATCACACAAAAACAATGACGCTCTGTACCGGTACTCTCTCCCTCCCCTCTCCAGAGCAGCACAGCAGAGCAGACAGATGAGAACCAGGAACCCAAAAAGAAGAGACAGCGAAAAAAGTAAAGCTCAGGTTGCTGCTGCTGCCTCCTCCCACGGTGCCTGTTCTGTGGTGGACTTGCCTTGTCTCGGAGAGCTGCATGTATGGAGGTCATGGTTTGTTATTTCCCTTGGCAAATACTTAAGACTTCTTCCTTTGTGCCCACGAGTGTGCAAGCAGCGACTCTGGCCCCTGGATCAGATTTTACACCTGGCTGCTGCCCTTGGAAGCGCCTCTGCTATTCAAATGTGCTGCTACCAAAATCATCTTCCCCAGGAACATCCCTTCTTACAGCAAAAAGGAAACAGAATGACTAGGATCAGCCCCTGCCGAAAGATTTCCTTCTGAAAGGACAGCCAGATTCTGGCATGCAGTCTGGACAACTGTCCTTCTGGCACTCTAGCGTCATCATTTCTTCTCCAGCGAACCTTTGGTTATTTCAATTATCTGATATATATCCAGTGCTTCCCCTGCAAGACAAGGGACAGTCAGTTCCTGCAGTATACTCAGGCTGTGCAACATAAGAGAGTGTGATGGTCATGATTAGCTTTAGTTCAGAGCATATAGGACAGAAAGCCTTAAATTTATGCAAACTTCTGTTTAGGGTGGTGGTGAGAACACAGGAACCAGCATCAGTAGGAAGCTGGAACATGAGCTGTTCTACCTTGGAGTTGAAGCTGCTGTGTGCACCTTCTGAGCAGTGAGAGGCCACAGCTTCTCCTGCCCAGGCTGGTTATACTTTTGCTGTTACATTTTTGCTGACCCTGATGTGATGCACTTCTTTAATATGCTTTGTTCTTGGTGTGAACAAAAGTGCTCTTTTTGCCCACAGAGCACAAATCCTGTTTCTAAAAGCATCCTTTGCCTGCACAACTCCTAATAAAGGTTACCTGAGGGTGGAGTGTCTGATGTGTGCAATGACTGAGAGAGCATATCTGAGGGCAGATTCTTCCCTTATCTGGGAAAGAGCTGGCACACTGAGGAGCAGCTGCTTTCCCAGCCAAGAGATAAACATTGTAGCAGTTACATTGAGGGCAGATAGGGATGACTCTAGGCCTTGGAATTGTTGAGGGAGTAGCCAGCAATGCCAAAGCTGTTCTCTAAACAGAGCTGTGCTGGGGTAAGGGGGAGTGGGGGAGAAAGGAATGAAGGCTGAAAAAGTCTGGGTCTGCAGGGCAAAATAGACAAGGTTTTTGCGGCACCTTATTTCAGAGAAGGAGTGCAATTAAATCTTGGGCTGTGCTAGAAGTGCACAGGAAGGCTCCTCCGAGGGGCACAAAGCAAAGGTAAGCATGGAAGAACAAAGCCAGGTCTGGTTCATCACTGCCAGAAATATTTGGAAGCAGCAGCACAAACTACTTGGGGATTGAGAAAGGCAAGAGGGGCAAAAGAGGAGCACAGAAGGGCTGGCAGCAGGGTGGTGACTGCCCTGCAGGGCTGATGATGAGTCAGGGAGCAAGAGGCTCACAGAGAAGCCCTTGGGGAACAACTGCTCTGCCTAAGATGGCAAGGCTCATGCAGAGGGGATTACAGGGGACAGCTTGCATGGACACTGCTCACCTTGAGGGATGCCATACTTCTCCATCCCTGTTGGATTTGAGGGCGTCACACAGTCCATGGTCACCTCTTTCCTTAGGCACTGGTCAATATCCACCGCACTGAAGAAAGCCACTGACTGTGGCAGATCCTGGAGGCCTAGTTTGTAGGCAAACATGCTCCTGCGAGAACAAAAGAGCAGGTAGGATGGTGCTGGACATCACACCAGTTCCAGTCAGCCACAGCTTCACCAAACACTGAGCAGCCTCTCCTCACAGGTTACTCTGCACCCACATCACTCAGGTGGGGGACAAGGTGTTTTTTAAGCCCTGAGTAGCAAGAGGGTCAAATATTGCTAAAGCAGGTGTGGGAGGAACAGTTAACAGTGCCTCTTCGTAAGTAACAGAGCCTCCCTGGGAGAAAGGAAGAGTCCAGGTCTTTACTGCTGGCTAATCCTCCCAGGCAGGCAGAGCAGATGCTGAATTTTCCCAGGAGGAAGCCCTGTGCATGTGGGAGCTGGCATAAAGGCAGGAACATCAGGTCTCCTGTCCCCACAGGTGCAGAAAGGCTGTGGTTTCCCTGCCTCTGCACAGCAAAAAACAGCTCAGCCTTGGCCAACTCCCATATAACCAAACACCCCATGGGGCCAGGAAGGGGATTTGGCAAAGCTCGCTGTGCCAGAGCCAGATCAACGGGAGCTCTTTGAGCTCATGAGCTTTCTAGGCTGAGCTTAACGTTGTGTGGGGCATGGAAGCAGCAGGAACATCCCATACTGCAGAAGGGGCAACAGCACTGGTGCTTGCAGCAGACAAGCCATGTCCTCTGCTGTCCCCTGAAGCCAGCAGGGAATGAGGGATGGGACTGTTCCAGGCTCCTGACTGTTCTACCAAGCTCAAGGGCTGCTGCCACGTCATGGCTGGACTTGACAGGAGCAGGAGGCAATGCTCTTGCAGCCCAGCAGAGCACAATGAGTGGCCCTGTCTCTGCAGGAGCCAAAAGGTGATGATATCCCCCTCTTGCCAGCACATTATCCCTGGAAATCAAAGCCAAAGTCCATTTATAGACACCTGAGTCACACGTGAAGGAACTAATGCCTTCAGCACTGGTAACTTCCCCTGAGTAGACGAAAATGCTCTGCACCTGTTTGCTGCAGCCAAAGCCAACACTTTTGCTGTCACCTCAGGCCCTTGACTTGCCTGTCCCAAGCCAGAGGCACTGCTGCTCCTCCCCAGGAGACACCACAGCCATCACAACTCACCTTGTGAGGAGGTTGGTGATCTGCAGGGCCAGGGCTGCCCGGTAGCGATCCTGCTCCTGGACCAGGTAGCGCACCTCGTCGTGGATGCTGATGCAGAAGCGTCCGTTGATGTCAAACTCCTCGAAGAGCCACTTCATGGCAACCAGCATGAGGTGCAGGTAGTCAACAGCCGAGCTCTGCACCACCCAGTTCACTCTGCTGGTCAGAAACTGGTGAAAGGAAACACAGATGGAAAATAAGAGAACTGGGGTCCAGGGCATGGTTCCTATATGGGACAATTGCTGAGAAAAGTCTGTTAAATTCAGAGTTGTTGGGTTTTCTTGATGGCATGGAGAAAGAAAAGGGGCAAAGGATTTTCTGCATGGCTCCAGCATCTAAGGTCTGAATATGGAGAAGACAAGCAAAGCCAAGAGCTCATCAGTCCAGAGCCACATCCTTACCTCCCCCTTGGTCACGGCAGGCTCCAGGGCCCTGCTGATGTGACAGCCCAGCACGGGGGTCTGCGGGGAGGGGGACAAGGCAATGCTCTCCAGCTTGTTGAACATCTCGGACTCAGTGCCTCCAGCCCACACTCGGTGCTCCACCACATTCCACTTCTTCCTATTCCGGGACCTGTGTGGCAGAGGGAAGGTTTGCTGGAAGTGTGGGAGGAGGCTGCAGATGCCCATTTGAGAACCTTAAACATTCTCTCCTGGTTTGGGGAAGCTGGACAAGACCCTACTAATTGCTCACTGGGAGCACAGGTGAGACTGAGAGCCCCCAGGTCAAACCTATTTGGCCATGTTGGGGGAGGAAGGCAGGACCAGGACTATCCAGCTTCATCTCCCTTCTTTGCCCACTGCCCGTCAGGCTGCATCTCCCTCCACCTCACATCCCGATGCTACAGAGCTACGCAGGGTCAGATCACCTCACCTTCTCGTGGCTTCTTTCTGGAGCCGCTGTACATCCTGAGCCGACACCGATCCATCCTCCGCCCTGTCCACTGCCAGTTTCAGCTCCCTCACGAGCCACTCCCCCTCCTCCGAGAGATGAAACCTGGAGAAGAGAGTAAGTAATGCAGCTCCTGTGGGACTCTGCCACCCTCCCTGTCCCAGCTCACCCCCCGGCTCCGCAGGCAGCACCCACCTGCGGATGCCCTTGGTGACCGCGTACATCTGCTGAGCCTTGTCGCGCGCCTGCTGCTGCGTCAGGCGGTGGTTGAACTGCATCAGCAGGCGCTCGGCGAAGGGCTGCCCGGCCCCGTAGATGCGCCCGTAGTTGAAGACCTTGGCGTGCTCCCGGCTGATGCCCACCGTGGCCGCCGTCTTGCTGTGCAGGTCTGTCCCATTGCTCTTCTTCCCCTGCAGAGTCATCCAGCCAAAGGCTGTGCAGCCTGTGGGGAGGGAGCAGAGGTTGGGCCCCAAACAGGATCAGGATGTCACCCCACTGACCAGCAAACCAGCTCCCCGGCTCACCGTGCATGCCGGCAAAGTGTGCCTCGCCAAGGACGGCGGCTATCCAGAGCTCCTGGGAATCCACGTCTGCGCCCACCAGGGAGTAGCCAGGTGGCACCTGGACCATGGCTTTCAGCTCACTGCCCACCCGGTCAGCCTGCAGAACATGTTGTCCAGCTCAGCACACCCCTGTCCTCCTCCACAGCACAGGAGCAGCCTTGCTCCTGCAGCTGCAGTGTCCCAGTACGGCACTCCTCATGCCCCTCAGTTTTGCTCTGAAAGTCAAAACTGGGTTTAACACACACCTGAGGCATCACTCACTCGGTTACTCCCCCCAGACTCCTCCAGCATAGAAGGGGAGCTTGGGGAAAGACAGAAACCAGCACTTTGGTGTTTTCTTTTTTCACCAAATTCTGAAGCTCAGGAGCCTCTGCTGACTCCTTCCCCTCTCCCCAGCTCAAAGTGCATCAGCAGAAGGGCTCCAGCTCTAGCCCTACCACCCCAAATCCCAGCATCCATCATCCCCAACTTCTATTTCTAACCCAGACAGCTTCCACCAGTCCAAAACAGACAGAGGGAGCCCCAAAACACCCCTGCAAGGATCCAAGCACAGCCCTACCCGGGCGTTGCTGGCTGTCAGCCAGGTGGGCTCCACTGCCCGGCGGGTGATGGTGCCTGCAGTCACCACCTGTGGCAGGATGGCTCCGTAGTTGTCCTCCTCGTTGTAGTCAGGGTGCCTGGGACAGAGGTGAGGGTGAGCATCATCCTCCAAGAGCCCTCCAGGAGTGGGATAGAGGGA